TAGTGTCGTCGTGTCCAATACCGCCAGCACCAGCATATTATGAGGAGGGTATGACATTGGATAGTTTGATAAGGGCAGCATGGAGGACCCAATACCAGGCATTCCAAGTGAAGATGCATGGTAACTTGGATAAGGAGGAGGAGGAGGAGCATCCTAGGCAATCGAGGAAGGGTCTTTCTAGGGGGGAGATGATACGACGACAAAAGTAATAACTGGGGTCCTCCCGAATGGCATTTCTAGAGGGTCCTTCGTAATTGACCATGGCATTAGTGTTGTTCAGGGGTACCCAAAAGAAGGGGAAAGAGAAGGACTCAGACGAGGACATGAGGGGTGAACCTCGGTAAGCTTCACGCGCCACGAAATTCAACCCGTTCATCGTATTGGACAGCATCCCCCTCTTTTTCAGGCGGAACCTCGGCATCAACAAGATCGTTCAGAAGCACCTGGGGATTGGTCGTGCCAGGAAGGGCGGTGGGAAGGGGGCCGCTGCCTTGTCCGCCCGCCCTGGCCGATTCCGTAACATCAGTTATAGACCCCCGCAACGTTCATAAACTGTATCCTGTCTTAGCTGATGTGTCGAGTTTACGGTAGGTAAGATGTCCTTCCTTCTCCAGTGAAGTCGATATAGTTGAGCTATGTCCGATGGTGTCGCCGCAACAGATGGCGGCGGCACATCGTTGTTGCTACCCGCACCGATATGGTATAAGAAGGGAACCTATCTTGAATCTTCCACCAGCGGCAACAAGATATGCCGCAATTTCGACGCTAGATGCCCTCAGAACATACGAATAGGAGGTAGTAGTACTATGGGACGTTAGCATACTCACAGGAAGAGTATGTTAGGTCGTAGTGTAGTGCATAAAGGGTGTGTATTGCATGGTGACCTTGGCCGCATAGAGTGCAGGAAGTGGGTGGTGCTGGGTGAAGACGTAGTGCTCATGCCCTGTGCGAAGAGGCTACTGGATAACTCCACTGATCATCAACAACAACAACATCAACATCAACAGCAGCAGTTTGATCGAGCTGATCTATGCCTAGGTATGCAGTATGGCGAAAATGTTGTTTATGAATAGTCAATGACGAGGGTAGCTCATGGCATGTGTAGCAGTTGTTGTTGCTATTGAGCTCATTATAGGAGTATCTCAGGTTTAATATGGAAATGCCCGAATATTGCTTGCCTGTGTTCTCTTAGGGGAGTACGTGTACGTGGGTCCTCGAACCATAGTAAAGGCAGCGACATTAGGCAGCTACGTGTAAGGCAACTGTATGAACTCCTGTATGTTAGCAGCATCACCTTAGACGTGTAGAAGAGGACTGTGTATTGGGGGAAGGGTGTATTATCAAGAGTCATACGGTAGTCCTCGCCAACACTAAGGTCCTCTCCCCTTACATGTAGTAGTAGTAGTGTTAGATGTATCTCCAGTAGGTGCCTCCAGGGACTACTATCCCTCCATTTCATATTGTGGGCCCAGCTCCAGGAGGCCGGCAAGGTAGTGTTCCCTATACTACGCTGGGCTTTGGGATTTCATGGGTGTAGAGTGTCTGTTGTCCTCGGCCCTGTAGTGTGGGATAGGTCTCTGGTTCGAGTCCCAGACTAGGTAATTCTCCATGTGGAAAAAGCTATTCTGTGTAGATATTGCCAGGAGCTCACTCCAGAGTAGATCCGTACATTTAGTCTTCGATTGGTTCGTTCGCCGTGTTGAAGCTTTTCCTAGTTTTGGAAAATACATCGTCCGCATACACGCTCGAATACCAGTGGAGTGTCACCAATTTTACGTTAAGTGGGACGATACTCCATGTGAAAAACTTAATATGGAGCGAATCGAAAACACTTCGCGAGTAAAGCACATCATGCGTTTTACGCGTTATTCACTGCTCACGCGTTTTCCACGAAGTGAAATGTGGAATATATTTTTCAAAGACCTCACCTGGGAGGTTGGTTAGTGTTATCAGAATATTCCCTCTACGTTCCTGCAGGTATCGTTCTGTTAGCTGAACTCCCGCCAGCCTGGGAGAGGGCTATAGCTGATCAGATCACCGACATGTACTATGCATTGCGGCCTACGCCCAATTAATACCCGTTTCCTTATCATCATCATAATGATGGTAGTAGTAGTGTTGATTCGACAGGCACGACCAGTGTGGGAATATATATGTGCTTTCCACAGCTCAGCTCGTTAGTTCCCTCACTATATTATGAAAGTCCACATACGATTTGGGGGTAAAAATGTACAAAAACTAACCGTAATTTCCCGGAGTTTCCATATTTTTATTAGCACATGTAGGTGGCCATAGCCATATACTCCCACACTGGGGAGGAAGGAAGGGCAATGTGTATATAGTGAATATATCACAGTAGTAGCGTCTACTCTACTCCACTGCCATTTTCTCTTGGTAGTTGCCTTCATACCAATGACAATGAATATGGAACCCCAACCAACAGAGGCAGGGGTGGGAGAGGCGGAGGCTGGCGCCGCCGGCATCGCCAGCAGCACTTTAAGGCTTCCTGCTGCGGCTGCATATCGGAGTGGTGGCGCTGGTATTAGTCAGATTGGACATAACTCTAACTATAGTACCGGTCGTGGTAGTGAGGACGTTGATTCTCTCACCTACTCCCAGGATGGTAGCTCTGTTCGTATTAAGAGGGATGGTACAGGAACTAGCAGTATGCGGTCGGGAATAGGAGGAGGAGGAGGCAGCAATGTAGCGCTCACACCAAGTGATTCACCATTATTGAATAGTGCGAACAGTCCGAGTCATGAAGCGGGACGGGCGGCATCTATGACCAGTGCTAGTGTGGGAGTGGGTGTCAATGGTGATCCCCTTACAGTGGGGTCGACTAATGAAGAGGCTGGTGGGCTTGGAAAAAAGGCGGAGCGAAGCTTATCTGATGATGAAAATGGGTTTGATGATGATGATTGGGATGATGAAGTGTTGTATTATGGTAAGAATGACAAAGTCCGGGATGATAAAGATGCCGCTACTAGCAAGCCGGCCTGCTGTGCTTGTACGATTATGTAGTAATGACATTGGCGCGCGCCCTGCTAATCGATATATCTTTAATGTCATTCCCATCCTACGATGGGGGATTCCCTTCCTCCCCCTCAAGTTGAGCGGCTATGCACAATAAGTCTGCCTACGAATGGTACTGTCGACGATCATCGTTTTGTTATTTCTACCAGTTACTAGTGTTTTAGTGCTGTAGTAAGATCGGCAAGATCATCATCATCATCATGATCATTATCAGAGCTTATTGACCAGGGGGTGTTGTATACTATACCGATAATGATGGAATGTACCAAGACAACAGACTGAGCTCTTATCATCATTCCAATTTCAATGATGGAGTTATGTTGGCCTGATGGGAAGATGGGGAGCAGTTGTTGTTCGTTACAGATGAATTCCCTGCAGCAACAGGCCCCTCCCCCTCCTCTAGTGTCGTCGTGTCCAATACCGCCAGCACCAGCCTATTATGAGGAGGGTATGACATTGGATAGTTTGATAAGGGCAGCATGGAGGACCCAATACCAGGCATTCCAAGTGAAGATGCATGGTAACTTGGATAAGGAGGAGGAGGAGCATCCTAGGCAATCGAGGAAGGGTCTTTCTAGGGGGGAGATGATACGACGACAGAGGTGAGAGTAGATTAAGAGGGGGGGGGGGGGGAAGAGTAGTAGTGGTTAACTGTTCAGGAGTGAAGGAGGTAGCAGTAGTAGTAGGAGGAATGATAGAGACTATGATACCGATGAAGATATGCGTGGTGGGGACCGCGACAGGTAAAGGAGGAGGAGGCCGGCATGACCGCGCGCCACGAAATTATCGCTCAGGAACCGGCAGAGTCGGTTTGGGCTTCATAGAGGTATACAGCGGCATTCGGGTGGTGGGATGCGGTCATCATCATCATCCTTTGATCGTCGTGATGGGGGTGGCAAGGGATATCGAAGACACCACCGAAATGTGACGCTGGTAGTCAACGAGCGGGGTAGACTGCAGAGGCGGCGGGATGATAGACGACAGACGATGTGACATTTTTACGGTATACACTACTATTTTTATTCGTAATACATATTCGAATTGAGTGAGGATACTTTCCTTGGACTGGTGAATTAACTCTGTTGAGGTTGCTACATCATCGGAGTTCGACAGGGACAAGTTTTGTGTCGTTCTTCCGCACTGTTGTTAATGATAGTAAGTTAACCCAAATGCTATTATTTTCTCGGCGATTGTCGCATGTGACCGTTACTATCGACCGGAAGGCAGTTGGAGGGAATTTCTGTAGCGGAGCGAAGCGAAAAGGTAAAATGTAATTTTCCCTCGTCGTCGTCGTTGTCGGTCGTCACTGTATGTGCAGGGACCCCTTTGGGTAGCGTAGTGAGATTTGTCGAACGGAAATGGGCAATACAGGTCCAACACTATGCTAACGACCCGGGTTCTAGTGATGCTGACCGTGCTATGGTAGTAGGAGACTTGTTGTTTTTTGTGAGAGTCATGATTCAATTCTTGTTTATCATCGTAGTACTCGATGGTATGTGGACAGATGCTGCATACTGGCTACGGGTGTGATAAGGATGAAGGGAAGGCTTATGAATATTTGTGGGCCTATTCTGAATCTTGTCAGCAGCGACCTAAGATTCTCCTATGTTAGTTCGAAAGCAGCAGCGCTTGGGCATAGAGATGCGAAGGTGGTCTTGGAAGCTCGCCAGGAGATGGTCAACACGCCGCACACTTCCTGCTTTGACTAGCCTTTCTCATCAATTGAGATTTTATTGTCATACCACTCCTCTTCGAATTCGTATCTCGGTGGCCTTCTATGAAGGTAGCTGTATTATATAACATACGTATCATGCTCGGGCAGGGCCTATTGAGATGACGATGATTACCACAGTGGTGTTCTGACCGCGCGCCACAAAATGCAAGTAGAGTAGTAGTGGTAGTATGATAATCATTGGAGAGAGTGTTCTGTGCTGGAGGGCTCGTCTCTGGTCAATGCCCGAAGTTTTTTCCCTTATTATTGTTATTATTATTTTTTCATCCAACTCGTCGTTACGACCAGCTGCCCTAATGAACGATTGTCTCTTGCGTTGACTAGGAATAGTCTTACCGCTGTGCTTATTGGTCTTGCAGAAGTGAGCGTTTATGTATGCGTCATTTTTTCCGTATAAAACAGCCCTTTTTCCCTAGCAGCAATGGCTCGAATCGCCCCACCAGAGCCGTTGCCTCGAGTAACTGCCCGACCGGAATTCGTAGGGATCGACCAAAGGCTGGCCGCTAAGGTGGCCAGCATGAGGCAGAGGGAATCTTCCCGGTGCGTTGAGGAGATATCTTGGGCGTGGTATCATGTTGGCCTTGTTAGACGGCAACGATTTTTCGATGCGAAGGTCCGCACTATTGGAGTCGACAGGCCTTGCTTAGATGGTCAAGTGAGTTGGTCAGTGATATGGGGTGTTGATGTAAAGGGTTGTCGAAGGTCATCGAGAAGATGGCCAGACTGCGGGCTGAACGTGATAGGGAGGAAGCAGTGGAGAGGGAGGTTATGAAGGCCCATGAGGATCTTACTAGAGGGGAGATGGAGGTAGGATATTAGGCTCACAAATTGGCAATGGAATTATTAGTAAAGTTGAGTCCCTCATCTCCTGGACGTAAACTTTCTATTTGAAATCCAACACCGTTCAGCTGAGGTTTCATAAGCTACTCTGCTGCTAACATCATCCTTACCCTCACAGCATCGGGTGGATGCCTTTCGTGTGGGGGAAATAGCCGCGCCGAAGTATATGTTGTCTTCAGCGTCATAATGCCCGACGCGTAACACAGGCGGAGATGAGAGCCTATCTGGGCAAGCAGGTCAGTGAACGGCTACACAGGGAGGCGGCAAGGAAAGACCCACCGGTGCCGGAGTAAGGCCAGGAATTTTGTGGCGCGCGAGAAAATTGGAGTCTGGAAGCAATGGGAAGATGATGATGACATTCCTCCCGGCCTTCAAGGCGTGTCACCAGGTCCTCGATTGGGTTAAGTAGGTATGGTCCATCGTCGGTGCAAGTCTTGGCTGGCGAGGATGATGGTAAGGCACTACGTGATAGAGAGCAACAGAGGCAACAACGTGATGCACTTGAACAACAGATGTTTGAAAATGCTATTCGAAATAATAAGATCTCCGAGATTGAGGTTAGTGACACTCTCTGGGTCGTCAGTGCTGAAGGTGGCATCTTAGTCGCGGCCTTCGAAGGCCTATGGTGACCTGGCTGGACCTAAGGAAGAGATAGCGGCTAGGGCTAGACGCATGGCGAGAGAGTAAGGGATAATTTGTGGCGCGCGAAAAAATTATTTTGATAATATTTATATCTATTATCTCGATATTGTTCACGACGTTCGTAGGACTTTCGAGGCCAATCAGAGGCTGGCTGCAGAGGCAGCATTGAGGCGTCTAGCCGAACGCAATGCAGAGGAGGCTGCGGGCAAGGCCATGCTAGAGTACATGTCAGACGAGCAACGCTTCATTAATGAGCCTCCCACGGAGAGGTTAGATGCAGGTGGGTTGTGAATAATTTCCGGGCGAGCGAGATTTTCACCAAAGGGAGAGTCATTCGGGATGTTCAATAGCTCTGTCCTGAGTTTCAAGAGTGCTACCAGTATCGAGATTCGCATGTGGAGTGCAATTTTGGGGGGCATGCTCTGACGAGGTGTATTGAAGACTTCGACTTCTTTCTGGTTTATAGGACGACGCTACAGGAAGGATGGTTACCGTGGGGCCCCACCCGACGCTGAAGAGAAGCTGAAAGAGTTCCGGGATGGACAGGTGGAGGCGGCCAGGAGGCAGTTGAAGGCAGAGGAAACGGCAGCCTCTATGGAGGCGGCAAGGAGGGAGAGGGAGCGTTGGAATGCTGTTAGGGATATGGCAAGGCAGTATCGTACGAGGAGTATCGCGTTGAAGGGACTTGCTGTAGGAGGAGGAGGAGGAGGGGCAGTCTTGTAGTGGAGGTATGCTGGTGTCGATGCTCAGGGTGAGAACGTAAAGGCAGCAGCAGAGGTGAAGGAGGCGCCTCCACTGGTGACGGTGAAGGGCGAGGTTAATGATGAATTCTTCGAGCAGTTCGGGAAGTCAACTCTCTGCTGAGTACATGTCTATGATGGTGTCCTTGCTCACAGTGTTGTGGTAGTGTTGGTAGTGTTACACTAGACTGCCGTTGTTGTTCAGTGTTGTCCTTGCCTCTATGTTGGGTAAAAGGGAGAGGAGTCGTAGTCGTGATGCTACCGTAGGTCGATGCGCCAACTGTGGTGGCCGAGGCCATGAGGCTTCCCTATGGTAAGCTCAAGTCATAGGGGGATCAAAATGATGGGTATTTCTCGCAGTCCTTCTCCTATTATGGACGAGCCAGAAGGGACAGTATCAGAGGTATTAGGCTCGGAATGTTTTTATTTGCAGCTTCGCTCCGCTCAGGTGCATCCTACCACACCAGACGGAGAGTAGTCATCCTGTGGACCATGTTTCGGATGTTGATGATAAGTTTTCTATTTCAGAGTGGAGGGGCCGGCTAGTGAGTATCGGCAACCTTTTAATGGTAAATGCGCCAACTGCTTCCGGTTCGGCCATCGGGCTCGGGAATGCCCTAACCTCACCACTTGTGCTAAGTGCTTTCAAGTAGCATACCATTCCTGGCTGAACACTCTGTAGATGTTGATGTCACTCACCTTAGTCTGGCCATAATTCTAAGGAGTGTCCGGTTGTTGGAGATACTTGTGGTAGATGTCGTTGTATAGGCCACACGGTAGTTTAGTGCTTGTTGTTGTTGTTGTCTGTGGTGAGGCCCTCGATGATTGTAGGCGGCAGCATGCCCAAACGCTATTATGTGTGATAAGTGTGGTAAGCCTGGTCACCCTGCGGTGTGGTGTGGAGTCATCTGTCGTAATTGTGGCCAAGAAGGGCACATGATCCGACAATGCCCAATGCCTCAAGTCTGTCGGAAGTAGTAGTAACGGTAGTAGTGATAATGGTAGTAGTAACGGTAGTAGTGATAATGGTAGTAGTAACGGTAGTAGTGATAATGGTAGTAGTAACGGTAGTAGTGATGATGGTAGTAGTAACGTTTGTAGTGATAATGGTAGTGGTAGCGGTAGTAGTGATAATGGTAGTAGTAACGTTTGTAGTGATGATGGTAGTAGTAACGGTAGTAGTGATAATGGTAGTAGTAACGTTTGTAGTAGTGGTAGTAGTGATAGTGATAATGGTAGTAGTAACGTTTGTAGTGATGATGGTAGTAGTAGTGGTAGTAGTGATAATACTTCTTCTCAGCTGTGGGCAGCCTGGACACAAGGCAGGGGAGTGCCCCAACCCACCTTCGCGTTATGAGACCAAGGAGGCGGTAGTACCACACCCTCTCCACATCATAGTAATTCCAATCCTACTACCTAGGATCCCAATGAGAACCCAATGACCAGCGGTCGTCATGGTCCTGTCCAGTGCCTCCAGTGTCTACAGTATGGACATATTGCCCGTGATTGCCCCAACCCGAGAGTATGCCATAGGTAGTAGTAGTATTAGTAAGAGTTGGCCAATCGTAGATGTAGATGCGGCGTTGCTGGTCACGAGAGCCGACAGTGTCCCCATCCAGTATTGGCCTCCCAGATCCTCCCAAACAGGGGTATACTTCCTGAGGTATGATGCTATCTGAGCTCGTTCATCCCAGTGTGGCCGGAGCTCTAGGTTTTCAGAAAAATCCTATCCCAGGCGCTGATTCGACTGAGGGAGGTGTTGTGAGCAGCAGTCGTAGTGTCAATAGTAACATACAATGCCTCCAATGCCTCCAATACGGCCACATATCCAAGGACTGCCCAAATGCTCGAGCTTGCTATAGGTAAGGATAGATGATAGTTTATCTTAATTAGCATCCAAGGATTGGTAGATGTGGTCAGCCTGGTCACGAGAGCCGACAGTGTCCCTTGGTCAACTACCAGGTGAGCCTTGAGGCCCCACTCTAGTCTAGTGCCCCTCTCGATAGATGACCATCAACGGTGTGGGCGGTGCAGTTGTCGACCCCAGTGTTGACCCTCGTGTCCAATGCCTCCAGTGCCTCGGCTTTGGTCATATGGCCAGGTCCTGTCCGAACCCTAGAGTGTGTCACCGGTAGCAGTAGTGGTAGTCTGATGAAGAGTTATTGCTTGAGGTTAGGTGTGGCCAGCCTGGTCATGAGAGTAGAAGATGCCATTTGGGACCAGGGCCATCATTGGTTATGCAACCGAACCCGTCTACGACCATTGCCCCGAGAAAGCCTAGTTGAGTTTTGTTGCTTTCGATAGCAATCATGCGTTGTGTTATGACATCAGAGTGGTGCTTGATCGTACCTACTATGATAATATGCAGTATTCTACGCGGCAAGATGGGTGATTCGTGGGAATAGTTCTATATTGAGCCCGTGAGCAGAGAGGACTCATTGTGCATGCGTGCAGAATTGTACATTTAGTTCACTACTAACTTATACCACACGCTTGATTACATTCATGTTCTCATGGGAGGGCGGGCGTAGATCTATGCATCATGCAAGCTGGAGTCTCTGCTGGACAGGCGGCTTTACCTTGATAGAAGAGTTCCCACGGGCATCATTTCAGTTAGTGAATTATGACTTCCGTTGGATATGCTACCACCTCCGCTCCGATGCCTACTGCGGCCGAACGTCAGGACACTGGTCATTTACCATCGATAAACGCTGATGGTGTTGGCAGGGAGCACAAGGCCAAACACACCGTCCTATCGTCCACTCGACTGGCTTGGCAACAGCGCCGTCCTCGACTGCTTGAGGGGACACCAATAGGCGAGCAGTCACCACTTCATGTTGGCCACCCTCCCCTTCATCACCCCATGACGAGATACCTGCGTATCGTTGATCGAGAGGAGCTGGCGACAAGGCTGTCAACATACATATGGGAGTCGACATGTATCGGCTCATACTCCTGTCACAGTAGCTCGACCTCGACGGATACTAGGATCGTCATACCCGCCAAACCGCCAGTGTACGTACCGCGTACTGGTGTTGAGGAAATACATCTCGCTAAGAGCCTGGCCAAGGGGCTTGGGTAGGATCACCATCAGGGAAATTGTTCATTGGTGGCTGTGTTGCTCAGACAGTGCCGCGGTGCCATCAACCATTACGACTTAGCGCACCCCCTAGAAACTCTACAACACGTGGTTTCCCATTGCACACCCACCTTCGACTGGTCCAAGGTTTCTCTTGTTACTAATCGTGGCCACTTAACCGATCTCTTGCGCTTCATCACCGGCGCGAAGTTGAATAGCTTCGAGTTCACCATTAGTTGTGGTGGCGAGGGCCAACCGGCGGTGGTGGATCGTAGCTGGAAGTACCATGGTAGAGAGCCAACATACGGATGGGCATTTGAGGAAGCCATGACAAGACCTCAATCGGGTGCCGAGCAACTGATCAGACACCATAGAGTCTCTCTTATACGACTCGGTGGCCTCCATCTCGTGGTAAGGGCTGAGGTCGATGCTTGCGCCGGCCAAGCCGACAAGCTGGGTATAAGACAGCTATCGGATGGTGACTGGGAGCTCTGCGAGGATGGTACATCGAGATTGTGGTGCGCGAAGAGTGGAATATTCGATCCTATGGAGACAGCAGTAGAATTAAAAACTTCATCCGTTCGACGGTCACTCGGCGCCAAGGTTATATATGAACAGATGCTTCTTGGTGATAGCAAGCTTCTGGTGGCGGGCAAGCATTTCGACGGGAATCTCGTCGACATTACGGAGCTAAGCATTGAGGAGCTGTATGCAAGTGGTGGAGATGCAGGATGTAGGGATCGAGAGATGGCGCAACTCGGCGAACTTCTCGAAATCCTCCTCGAGGTAGCAAAGGTGCACGGGCATATCGTGGTTGTGTGGAATGGAAGATCACGGAAACTCATCATAAGGGAACGGCAGTCTAGGTGACGCCGCGTCACTGATGGGATATGATCTCTGTGCATTTGACCGGCGGAGGCGTAGGGAGAGTAGTGGCACCATCTGTACCCGTGAATGTCATGTATGAGGATATCATATTTCAATGACCTCTCTTCTGACTTCCCTTTAGATGAGAAAGCCTTGGGTTGAGTGGAGTACTATGACTACGGCTGCAGGGCATTCCTTTATCAGGCACTTGAGTAACCTACAGATAACCTCAACTAGGTTCGGTTCTCCACTATGAAGTGTTACAACCTTCCAGTTGTTTCAAGTACCGAGGGATTACTAGGGAGTTACTGGAGGCCACTACATGATACGCATTCTCTGGACGGGGCAGTTATGCCACTCCTCAAGATACGGCTTAGTGGAATCAGTTGTATAATCGGGGCGGCTATGCCACCCCTCAATATACCGCTCAGTGGAATCAGTTGTATAATCGGGGCGGCTATGCCACCCCTCAATATACCGCTTAGTGGAATCAGTTGTATAATCGGGGCGGCTATGCCACCCCTCAATATACCGCTTAGTGGAATCAGTTGTATAATCGGGGCGGCTATGCCACCCCTCAATATACCGCTCAGTGGAATCAGTTGTATAATCGGGGCGGCTATGCCACCCCTCAATATACCGCTTAGTGGAATCAGTTGTATAATCGGGGCGGCTATGCTACCCCTCAATATACCGCTTAGTGGAATCAGTTGTATAATCGGGGCGGCTATGCCACCCCTCAAGATACGGCTTAGTGGAATCAGTTGTATAATCGGGGCGGCTATGCCACCCCTCAATATACCGCTTAGTGGAATCAGTTGTATAATCGGGGCGGCTATGCTACCTCTCAATATACCGCTTAGTGGAATCGGTTGTATAATCGGGGCGGCTATGCTACCCCTCAAGATACGACTTAGTGCAATCAATCCTCTGGTCGGGGCGGCTATGCCACCACCTTAAGAAACGACTCAATGCAGTCAATTGTCTAGTCGGGGCGGCTGTGCCACTACATAAAGATACGGCTAAGTACAATCAAATCTGCGGGAGTATAACGTAGGACGATCAATTTCGTCGACAGAACCGAAGTTGATTCAATTTCGACGGATCACAGGGATCAGTTTTGCTGTTAGTGGAATCGATTCCGCTAGAGGGGCAGATATGCCATCACGCGAAGGGTCTCTCTATTTGCCTGTCTTTAAGTACACACCGGAGATTTCTCTGCTGACACTATATGTCGCGTTTGAGTCCAGGAATGGCATAGCGGCCCCGGGTCAATTTTAGACTATACACCAGCATCCATTGTGATGTCCGCCAACGATGTGCCTTGAACGTGATATAACCAACACCACACATTATGGAATTGGAAGCACATTTGAATTACATAGTAACTTTAAGGAGAAGCGCACTACCTCAAGGCTGAAGTTCGAGCACACTCACTCGTATGTTCACGAGACATCATTCGCCGCACAGCTCTGAGAGTTCATGATCTTTCTGGAGCTGCGAACTAGCTTAGTTGCAATGAACGCTCTTTCTCACTGCTGTTGGCCGAGAGGATCGATTTTGACTAGTCCTTGGCGGGGTAGTTTTGGTATAAGCCGCGTTTGTCATGATGAGCTCACAAATCCCATACGGCATGCCCTAATCTAACAGACATGAATTGTCGCGGGCATCATTTTGATCTGCTAGTTTTGCACAGCTACGAGCGTATGTATGTCTGCCTCCATCTCGGGATCTACTGCAGCCGCAAGGCAATACGTTGTCCATTCCTCCGTAGGAGACGGCCACTGTATGGTCAGCAAACAGGCTGGACACCACGTGGGCTCGTTTAGTGAAGTTGCCTGGCAACAGAGGCCTCGACTGGTCGATGGAACTTCTACAACCTTTCGCTCGCAAGATCTTAGCCATCCTCCCTTCCGTCCACCCATGACGAGGTACTTACGCGTCATTGACCGAGGAGAGTTGTTCGCAGTAGAATCTACATGTACACTGGAAGTGACAGACATTGGCTCCTATTCTTGTCACAGTAGTTCGACGTCGTCCGATACGAGGATAGTCGTGCCCGCCAAGCCGCCAGTGTACATTCCACGTACTGATTCAGAGGACATTCATTTGACGAAAGAACTCAGGTAGGATGGATGCTGTATGATCAATTTGATTTCCATGTTGCTCAGTCCGTGCCCAGATGCCATCGGCCACTATGACCTGGCTCATCCTCTGGAAACCCTCAAACACGTGATCGCCCATTGCACTCCCACCTTCGACTGGCACAACGTTGCCCTTATAATCAACCGTGGTCACTTGTCCGACCTCATGCGCTTCGTCTGGGGCATGAACTCGCGTGAACTCGAGTTCACCATCAGTTGTGGTGGCGAGGGCCAACCGGCGGTGGTAGAACGTAGCTGGAAGTACCATTGTAGAGAGTTAACGTACGGATGGGCATTCCAGGAAGCCGCGACAAGACCTCAACCGGGTGCCGAGCAACTGATCAGACACCATAGAGTCTCTTTTATACGACTGGGTGGCCTCCATCTCGTGGTGAGGGCTGAAGTCGATGCTTGCACCGGCCAAGCCGACAAGCAGGGTATAAGACAGCTATCGGATGGTGACTGGGAGCTCTGTGAGGATGGTACATCCAGACTGTGGTGCTTCAAATCGGGAGCCTTCGATCCTATGGAAACTGCAGTAGAGTTAAAAAGTGCATCCGATCGACGGTCTCTCGGGGTTCAGGCTAAGGCCACTTATGAGCAGATGCTCCTTGGTGACTGCAAGTTGTCGGTGTTGGGCAAGCATTCCGATCGAAATATCATTAGTAATCAAAGAGTATCATTAGGAAATTCATTACCATCACGGAACTCAGTATTGAGGAGATGGCTGGAAATGATGTGGACATGGGAACTTGGGACCGAAAATTTACTGAGTTAGGCGAGCTCATCGGAGTCCTGCTCGAAATAGTGAAGAACAATGGTCATGCCGTGGTCGTGTGGAATGGCAAATCTCGGAAGCTCATCGTGAGGGAAAAATGCAATACGTATGTACGTTCGACCGGGGTGCTGACGTAGGGAGAGTAGTGATAGCATGCACATAATTTTTCATAACTGCTTGGGTAGATTCTAGCGCTTTTCTTCTCGAAGTAGATGACTTGAGCTGAGTGCGAGACTGAAAGGACGTTCGTAGGGGATGCGTTGTTATTTCGAGTACTTCATGTAGTAGGAGGCATGGCCCTAGGTTTGCCGGGAGCCGCCACGCTGCTGCGTGTCTGGATTTCATCAGTCTCACTGGACTGATACTTAACTGTACTTCTCATCGTCGCTTTTTCACACTCTCGAGTGACTGTAGCGCCCTTGCGTTATGGAGAATAACTCTGTAATAGGAACTATAATAGTTTCCAGAGGAGGGAAGAATAGAAAAGTTCAACCATTCTTACAACATCTTCATTCAACTCCAGGATGGGTTGGCTCAATCAACTTGATTGAATCAAGCCGCTGACTGGAAGGGAAGAAAGTATCACAGGTTTGCCATCCCCTCTGTCTGAGCGCTATCCTCTTTGCTTAATGAACTTACCTAACCTCGTCCTTCCCGGAACAAATTACATCGGTGCTGGTCTGACTAAGCCGATTGGTAAGAACTCACACACGCGCTCACTGAAACGAAAATCAACATATTAGAGGAAGGTCGAAAGTTCAAGTTGCACGTTCTAATGGACAAGTCTAACACATCAACATCTTATAGCTATCTCAGTATCAAGCCCGGATCCGCAGAATACAAAATGGCTCTTCCCAAAGACCATCAATGTAGAGCGGACGAGTGAAACTACCACGAGAGGTCTCCTTGGATGATCCTCCAAACTGAAAGATGATGATGATAAGTAGCTCATAATCCACGCCCTACTTGAGAGCGGAAAGGATCCCACTATGGTCGTTGATGACATCGCACAGTTTGACAAGAGTGCCGTCGCTGGGTAGAACACTGGATATCAATCTGACGAGCTCGGCAGCGGTGCCATTAGCATTCGCTTGGGAGTGGGAAGACGAAGTATTGTAATCATAGGTGTGGAAACTGATCAAGCAGAACTCTTCGGTTAGAAAGTTTTGCTGTCTTACTAGTCTTGCTGCACTCTGTTGTACGCAGGCTGCTGCCTCTCAGGACTCTTTTTCTTGGGAGCTTCAGGGGCGTTCGGTCTAAGCCTCGACATTCGATTCTTAGATGGTCTGCTCGGTAGCTCGACCGAAGGAGGAGAGCCTATCGTTGTAAGCCATAGTCGCATAGAAACGACGATGATAGAGCGGACCTCGCGGCATGTTGTTTTCTGTCTGCCGCTGGACCTCGGCTTTTCTCCGAAGACCCCAACTGGTTTGAGTGGCTCTGAGAGCATCCAAGTCTCGTGGGCCGTTGGGGTACTGTAGCTTGAGAAGGCTGAACTTCTCGCTGGTGTCTCTCACCATAATACCCTAAAGTGTCGGGTTTCTATGCGAGGCAGAGATCAATAATGACTGCACCTCAACGCTTTTCAGATCCCTCTTGAAGACCTCGGGATGGACCCCAAAGAACCACTCGGGCGAGAGCTTGGCCGACCTTGAAATCTAAAAGAGCGAGAGTTTTAATGTCGTTCGACAAAAACCCAGCGTTCGTTTACTTGGAGATGTCGCCGCAGTTCATCCTGAATCGCAGGGTCTGAGTTGCAATCCTTGACCCTTTGTACACGACCGGACACGAGTTCTGTAGCTACCCGTGTTACGAGACTCGAGTATGGTACGTGCCTGTAGAGAGGGCATGTAGACTGTAGATAGGCAAAGAACGACTAACCATCGCTGTGCCGCCGCGCCAGATGGTAGCCCCATGAGCCCAGCCAGCAATGCTCTGGTGTCGGCAGGCAAGGGACAAGTGGAGATGGGAGTCAATGACCATAGTAACTGCAATGATGATGCTCTCAGTGGTGAGAGCAGAGAGGCATTCTTTGCTCTAGTCGACGGCCTCGGGTCAGATCTAATTCACGAGGTGGTCCCAAACTCACGTTCCTGAGCTCAGTAGGCAACGAGCATTTGATCGTAGTCAACTTCTGGCCCGACGTTTTATCGGGTTTGACGCCCAACTCGTAGCAGTGGAGGAATACTCTGCCTGGCATTCTTGTCGCACAGGGCAGCTCTGATCCTCGACCTGACGGCGTGTACTTCTTATCGCCAACTATAGGATGTCCGAGACCTTGAGCCATATGCACCTGGGAAGAACAACATCCGGAAATACTCTGCTGCAATAACTTCGTGGATGAAAACCACAAAATCATTGTCATTCTACACCATCACTTTTGGTATTCCATTATCATTCTGTAGTTAACCAAAGTGTCCACGACGCGAACTACGGCAACCATTGGATTGCTGAGTACACTTACTCTAATCTGGTGAGTGACACCCGTGGTTATTCGCACTGACATTAACGTGCAGCCTTCTTCGTACCGCTCAAGGACTCGGTATTCAGAATGAGCTGACGAGCTTGCTGGGCCCGAGCCGATCTCCGCAGAAGTATCTGCGGGAGTATGATGAAGGGAATCAACGATGGAACTCACGTTTCTCAGTCCTCCGCACTCGTATGGGACTGTCGATCATGCCACTATCATTGGCACATATACCATCTACTAGACATACGTACCGCTTCGTCACTTGCTCTTTTTGGAACTGACGTCGAATGAATTTCCAAGACTCCAGCTTCCGAGCTATGAGAACAGGACCTGAGATGTATCTAAAATCTGTACAAGCAATGACGAACTTACCACTGGTCTGCTTATCAAGGCGATGACACATCGGACCAAAGCCGCCTCCACCACTCAGCGCGGGGTTCAACTCCTCGTTCATCAACTCAGGATCGATTTCATACTGACGAGAGAGCCAGGAAACGATAGAGTCTTCTGGATGGTCATCAGGCAGTTGGCATCGGTAAAATGCCGGCTTGTAGACCACCATCACCGAGTCGTCCTCTGAGACCCTTCGGATCACTTCTGGTGGGAGGTACTCCGTCAGTGAACCGGAAGAGTTCAATAAGGGTGGGGACGATTTCATAGCAAGTAGTAGCACGGTAAACAAAAACTGACCATATAGTGTGTTCAGTGTCAATAGTCCGAAACGGTAGTAGTGCATAACAACCTCTCTGATATGCGTATCAGACAGATTATGGACTCTAGTGAAATTTTCATGCATAATGCACAATTTATAATTGCATATAATTTGCCTTAGATGTAGAAAGTTGATAAATTTAACATCATGTCGATCAGCATATCATTTGTAGGGCACATGTGGAAGATAGAAACGCAAATCTAACTAAGCCGTGTTGTTGGCGTTAGACCTCACCCACACACACCCACCTGAGGGCCACACCTCCTAAGTTCCTCCATAATCTGAATCTTCCCCACAGGCTTGCCAAGACGTCTAAAAAAATAAATACACCAGTGGTGGAACGTTCAACTATCGTGGTCAACGCTACAAAGGATACTAGGAAGGATGAGTCAACTGCATGGGGCATCATGGAGCCGCTACCACTTGAATTTAGACTCAGTCAATATGGGTGCTTGATGACCTTCTTCTAGGAGCTTTACCTGTGAGGCATCTAACCACTGGTACGCCGTATGGATGGACAGCGTGACGATTTTTCAACAAGGTCTACGTAAGACCCGTTACGACGCCGTAACTTCACGATACGGAGCTTGAAGCGTAACCGTAAAAGGGAACCGTAACGGTCCGTAACGTGATTAAGGCAATCTATAGTAAGCCGTAGAGAACTAACCACGCTCTTCGTCTCCTCCTCTCTCCTCTCGCGACTCTTCCTGATGAACTCTGCCTCTAAAGCTCGTTCGGTGAAAGACTTCTTCACTGGAGGGTTCACAAAAATGTGCATCCACTTAGGAATTCGGTCCACCGCTATCTGCATCGAATTTACTCAGTAAATGTATCAAATAGGCCTCACGTTTTCCCGATCGAACGGAATATCATCATCATCAGAATCCTCCTCCACTGATGATTTCTTTTTGGCCTTACCAAAACTCTTCCTAAACTCAGTAGAGATCTTTTCCTGACGTCATCGCAGTCGATGAGTGCAACACATTCCAACTTGTTACTGCAGATTTAACGCTTTCCGCAGCGGCCTTTCTGGGAACTTTAGGTAGAAGATTCAGATTCGTCTCGAACTCCGTCACGGAAGTTCTAGCTTTGCTGACTGACTCGATCTGTGATGAAGATTCCACGTGAAGTCAAAATCAGACCATCAAAATACCGGAGGTTGAGATATGGAGCTTCTCCTACTGCCCACATCTAGCGTCGCGTAAGTACTCGTCAGCAGACCAGCAGTAGGCAGCTCGGGAGAACGCGGAGCCACGGGCTCAACGCTAGTAGCATTGGGCGAGTAACCTGAGAGTAACTTCTTAACAAGGATGTCGAGGGGTGTCACCACGCTCAGTGCTAGCAGTCGCATGTGGGTTCCGTTGCAAAGGATCGGCTCCCATGACCGCCGGGAGGAGCATGTCACAGGTTTCTCGGAAGGCGGGCACGCCCTGAACATTGACTGATATATCTTCATAATTGTGAAGGTCTGTGAGATTCAGCTGGTGTCGATTGTTGTCTCTCGTGGATATCTGTCCTATTGTGGTTGATTCTCAGCGTATTGTCGCTGAGCTAAGCTGTAGTCATTTGCATATCTGTGATGATTATAAGTTAAGTCTTTCTGATATTTTGGTTGACGTTGGGTTCTGGCTCTGAATAATAATGATATATGAGTATTTTAACATGATGGAGCTATAGTGGTGGTAATCTATGACTCGAAATTTACCTGGAGGAAAATGTGGGTCTTCCGCATGAGGAAAAACTCCAACGTGAGTTTCCTATCGAAAACCTCCGTACGATCGTAGTTCTCCCAGAAAGCCGAAGACGGAATGCTCCTCTGTATGCACCTGCGTCAATCTGAAGCCAGGTGAAGCACTAAGGCCAAGGACCTCTGGAGATGGAGAAGAGGGTTCATCATCTTCCCAAATCGAAAACATAGCTCTACAAAATCACTGGTATAATATCTAGACAGGGACAATCGTCGGAAGTGTATTTCGTGAGTATCGAACGATCTCACTGAGCAATGGTGGAACCTGAAGTAGTGCAGACTTACGGAGCGAGCGAAGCGAGCGGAGCATATACCACAACAACAGGCACTTTCGCGTTGTGCGTGCGTGCGTGCAGAATTATTCTGGCTTAACTACGAAGCGTGGGAGGCCACGAGATAGGGCAAACGACTCCTCTATACGCCTAGGTTTGCGCAAAAATCGAAAAACTCAATTATGCGAGCAGCTCGAAGAGATATGCACGAAAACCTTTAATGACGGAAAAATGTCCTATCCGGGGATCGAACCCGGAACATATTCCAGGGTGGTGCGTCTATTGAATGAATCAATAGACGGGAACTGAGCGAGCTCCTCCCCTTCGTCACGAAGACCTAGTATTAACACCAGTAACTTACCGTGAGTAGAACTCATCAAGCTGAGACGCTGTCAAATAGTGTACTGTCCAGGACTTGACGTCTTTTACCTAAGACTCCCTCCGATGAAGGACACTTGAAAAGTTACTTACTATGATTAGGAACATGAGCTGACATAGCTCGATCTTAGAGAGGGAGCAAAAGCGGAGGAAGATATACAGGAACTCGTCCCATTTAACCGTGTCGAAGCAACCACCAAGTTCGACCTGATAACACAGCATCACATCTAGCGCTCTCCATTAAAGTGGGGACAGCTCAGCACACAAAAGCGACAGGTCCTCCTCATCTTTGTCCTACCAAATTCCGTAGCATGCCGGCTACGTATTCCTTACGATCTCGAACTAAGTTAATGAGAGAGTCCGTCGGGACTTCTTTCACTGTCAGCACTAAATTTCGGCAACCTGGCTAAAGTTCGCGTGGAGTGGTAGAGATGATGAACTGATGTATTACTGTCTTGTTTGAGCTGATAAAAGGCAGCGTAGATCTTATGGACTTCTCGAAGACCCATCTTCAAGTGGCGTAGTTCTTGCTCGACCTCTTTACAAGGTCTCGGTGGAGCACCTGTGTAGGGCTTGATAGCAACCACCACTATTCCGCAGTAGATTACTCCTCAAGAGAGCTCCCAGCACTTTCTTTGCTGATCTTATAGCCCAAGACTGTCTCGGCTCTTCTAATTGGTCCATTTAAAGTACTATGATAGATAGATCGAGTCCTGTTACGTACTAGGGAATCATCCAGAAACCCATAATGTTCCCGGGGGGAACTCGTTTTGAATTTTCCACATGGCTAGGGGCACAGTCTTCAATGAGTTTCCCATGTTTCCCTGGGTAACGCTATTTCTCGAAGCTAAATGGGTCCCAGTTGCGTACGACGGTCATCCCTTCTCGAATATCATTAATCACCGCTCACGGCCATACCATAATGATAACGAAAGTGAACGCCTTCCCCTCCCCAACTGGCTACTCAGAAGTCCCCCTTTTCCCTCATTATGCCATGTACCAGTATGTTCATACGAAATTTCGGATTTGCAGGGCCCTCAGCACCTCACTTTTAAGGTATGCACTACGACTCAACAATTCCTTTTTGCCACACCGATGAATTTTGAAACGAATTTAGGATGTCTCAGTTGCGTATCTTACAACCAGCAATGGAATGGTCTTCTCCTAGGAATATTACCTGAGCCCAGGTATGGAACGTTGAACATATAGTTGCATAGGGAACAACCTACGGCATCGGCTTCGTCTGGACATGATTTCAGCATTCTCCTGGTAATGCGTTCGTATCCTCTGCAAAACTCCTTCACATCGATACCATCACCTCCTACTTTACGACGGAGCTCATCCTCCTGGTCTTGTCGCCATCGCAAAACGCAAGTCCAACTCGGGACCTGACAACAACGAGGGTGGCTGATGATAAAAGTCAGAAACCAAATATGCACATGCGTTGTAGATCGCTCCTCACCTGTAGGTGAACATGGACATCGAGTTGTGACCAAATCTCAGAATAATCTCCTCGAAGTTCCTCATCGACGAACTCACGGAACCTTAGATCCGCATCAAGGCTGTTGAGAGCAGCCGTGGACTCATCGGTAGGAGGCGGAGGGGCGGCAACACACCTGGTAGGAATACACCAAGCCCGGGAGGCAACCATCCTCGGCATCACCAGCCTTCCAGAAGGAATATATCACCAGGTCGGAGAGCAGGGAACGTCTCGTCTTCTACTGTGGTATCTAAAGCCTTGTCGAAACGCGGAAGGACAAGCTCGTGATTGCAAGAGCTGGAGCCATGGAGACGAGCCAATACCTGAGTGATAATGGGAGTCTCAAACTCAGCGGTTGGCTGAGCGGAACACACCTTCAGCAGTCGTTGCGTCTGATGGGTCCCTGGAGGCCCTCGGATGCTCAAAGCCTCTATACCGGTAGCATTCGCCTTCCTAGCTCGACCCTCTGCGGACAAGTAGAAATCGTCCAACGATATTCCAATACAGCGTCGTGAGGTGTTAGTAGTGATCAAGCTCTGAAGGACCTGTAGGCTGGTGCTCCTGGAAATCATGAATGCACACACGATCTACTTTGGTGGTGGTTGTCTTGCCACTCCCTTGTCCACCAGATATGCCGACAATCAATGGCCGGGTAGTAAGACGAGTCGCTCTGCCTAGTAAGTATTTCACCAGAGGCTGGTACACTTCATCCAGAGCTTTGGAAACAGCTAGGGTTGCTGCTGGAGGAAGAGCTGCAGTAATACGAGATCTCGGCATCATGCAAGAGCTGACAAGTTCAAGCGGTGGAGTTATTTTGTAAGTTACTGCCGCCCAATACATTCAATCATCATTAAATGCAATGCACCACCACAGCATTCGTCAGCAACTAAGCGCTTATCAACCACCAGCTAGTAGCACCACCAGCATAATACGAAATCTTAGCTTCAGCTTGGAGCTAGTTCATAAACTTATGAGTATAGTCGTAGATGAGATCTCTACCTAGACGAATGCCGCACTCAAACTAGTAAAAGATAGGCCGCTACTCTCTTCCAATGCAAACACAGGACCGATTGCAGCTTCCCACCCAAAACTCGTTAACTCAACTCGTCCCGCCCTGCCGACCTCATCTGCGGCCATCGGACAGCCATCCTCACACAGTTGAGGATTGCACGTCAAGATGCAGACAATCAGAAACTACCGGGTGCCAGAGGGTGGGCAAAAGGAGCCAGCACGCTCACCGGCAACTGATACATGATAAAATAAAGTGTCAATAAGCCTCACACTAACAGTTAGGACCAGCAGCAACAACAAGTATCGCAATGATATCGACATCTGTACTACTAACTGCTTCTTGGAATACTACCGTGCTTCTACGGTAGAAGTTCTACCCATCTGGTTAATTCGAATGTTACAGAAGTCTATCTCCTTGCCCTCTGATAATAAAGTATGGCCAGCGACCCAGATCTCGACGGACCAGATTATGAACAGTCGGGCACAGTTGATGATCCGTGGCATGGTGGTTTCCATTGCAGTCTGCACAGTGTGGGGCGCCGCCAGGGTAGGCCCTACCTTCGTGCCCTTTTAGAGCCACATTTGTAGCAGACTGGTTCATTGGGGCAGTCCTTGGCCAGATACGCCGTCCTACCAACAGCACAGCAGTTGTAGCACATGACTTCACGGTGGCGCCAGCCAACCTCCACTCCAGTTTCCAGATGGCTCTCGACCGATTCTCTTCGAACCCGGACGAAAGCGTTCAGGCCTTTCTTGCAGACGAAGGTACATCCGCTTCCAATAGCCTCACGCAACTCACCCTCGTTGATCTCACCGACCTCCCGGATGAAGAGTTCGGGGTCAATCGACCCCAGAACTTTGGTGTGGTAACCGAGGTTTTTGGCAGCGTTATCAGCGCGAGCCCGCTCAGCATCAGATACACATATACCAAGTTCCCCGTCCTTCGCGAAGAAACTGTCAGTGACCACGAGTCGTAGTCCACGACCTCCGCCTCCGCTCCGATTTTCCCGGCGACTTTGATACAATGCTCAGCGCTTCTGTCTGAAGGGTTTATATCGCTTCCGGTCAGCGAGAGGCGGGCACCCTCCTTGCCGGACTCCTTGGCGGCCAAGGACCAGTGTGAAATGTGGGATTCTCACAGTGGGAAGAAGCCAAGCGGACGGCCGAAGAAGAAGAGGAAGTTGGCTACCAAAGAGGATGTGACACAGTCCGCGTACCGTCAACTATCACAACTCGAGATCGATAGAGTGGACCCAAGCGAGGCAGTCTGCCTCGGGCAGAGCAGTGGATGCGGAACCAGGCGACTGCGGAACGGGATATGGGCCGACTGGAGGGTCTGTCCGGGGTGGCGAAAATGCAACAATGGGAGGCCCTGGGATAACACGGATGCACGTTGTCATGCAGCCGACGAAGTGGCGGCCATGCGACAAGTTGTCGCCGACAACTACCGAGGGAGCCGTGTCAATGAGCTGGTGGACGTAAGGCATAAGATGACACTGCCGGAGTTGGACATCACCCTGCAGGTCGCACGGGAGGTGTGGAGGGCGCACGGAAAAGCCGTGCCTCTGTCACTGTGCAAGAGAGATCACCGTGAAGCATACAGGCAGGTGCCGATGAACCCAGTAGAGTCGATGTGGTCGACAGTGGTGTTACGCGATCTCGAAGGACGATACCAAGGATTCAAGCATCGGGTCTACCCATTCTGTGTCGTCCGTGAGCGGATATCTTCGGCTGAGTATTTAAGTCACGCATGCGGCCAGGATGGTCCTGAGCTGCGGGTTGCAGTCAAGGAGGAGAAGGACGTTGCCTGCACGCAGAAGGCTACCGCGGTTGGAGTAGAGATCAACACCGAGATCCTAGGCACGGTGGAGTGTAAGCTGGGGGCGGCGCGAAGAGACGCGCTGCTGGTGGACATCGCGTGAGCACTAACGACTTCCTTTCCCGAGGGGGCGGAGGGAAGAAAGCTTGCGGAGAGGCTAAAATTCGCTTGCAGCGTACTCCGAGGGAGGAGTGGACATGCCTATGTGAGGACCCTGATTCGGGAGTCTAAATGTACTACTAAACTACTAAATGTAGTCTCCGAAACTGATGGACTGTCCATCATGGACATGTTAGTAGAGGTGCATAGCTGAACCCATATTTGTTCCCCTACATGTATACCAGACCAGCAGCGAGTATACATGGACGACCCCTACAGCTCCAATAATTGCCATCCAGCAATAATGTATATCCAAAGTTCCGTTTGATACAAGCCGGCGGTGGTATTGGGGACTCACTTGAATGGAGGCCATTGAAAATGTTTACTAGTCCACACTTGGAGGAGACGTCGTCACCTCCATCTCTAACATTGCGGCCAGAGCCAGACTGACCGATTCCAGAGGCAAGTAAATACAGGTCTCCCAAGAGGGGCGTCTCAGGGCGGGAAACGAAAGGTGTACTATGAAGTTCTCGCCCAATATGTTGAAGATTAGTGTCGCCATTAGTATCGCTCGAATCAGAAAAGCCCTAGTTAGGACCTCACAGACTAACTTAGTTCACCAAGTGTTACAACCTGCTCTGTCTCCCGATTCTCTCACATATTTGCGTTTATTTATAAGCTTCTTCCTCGTGAACTCACTGCCACTTCTTTGGGCCATATCGGTCGAGGCATCTACCACCGCGTTACCAGAACTATCAATAGTGGCACCTCCCACGAGTCGCGTGAAAGAGTTCCAATTTGGACCGAGTGAAGTCTTTATCTGAACGACAGAGTAATGCTACAATCAGCGACAATAAAATGTCATTTGGCAAATGAGAAGGAACCACTGCGGAGCCAAGTATAACGAACCAGCTGCTCAATACGAGTACTTACCTCCGAGAATGTACGAGAAGGTGTGTGGTTCTTCACAAGCTGATTTGGTTTTAGACGTTGTATGGGGGATAATTTGAAACTATTGCGCGGAGCCGCGAGGCAAGCGCAAAGGAATACCAAGACGACTTAAGTGCTCAAGATGATGGCGTATCTTCGCAACGTATCTTGGTGTTGAAACGGCTGGACGTTTCACTCACGTTGAAGATGATGAGATTGATTGAACACCTCTGTTCTATCTGAGAGTTAGAGTTCTAGATTGATACTAGACAACCGTAGCTTACTGTGGCTACGTGTTCTCTCTTTGACTGTGAACGTGCGTCGTTTACGACTGGGAGCAGTTGCTCTTACGTTGTAATCTCGCTTGACTAGCACTTGGTCTATATGTAGTGGTCTCACTAGTGCGATTGAGTAGCAAATCCATTAGATCTAATTGTGATGTTGGGTTCCTACGTTAGTGAGAACTTTAAGTGGTGAGGATTCCGGCTGAGCCAACCCGCGGTTGAGCAGGGGTACCTTCGGATCGAGTAGAAGTCCCTACGTCTGGTCCCACGCTTTGACAGCTTTGATCCAGCTCTCTACTACTCTTCTACTCTACTCCGTCATCTCCTGGCACCCCTGGCGACCGCGCACTATCAGTAAATATCTGAAGTGTCAGTCAGACTGCATGAAAACTGCATGAACAGCGCAGGTTGCCCTACGATCAGTTTGGGCTTGGATCGTTGTTAATGGACTCCCTAAGGGAGTCTCCCTGGGATCAGTTCGCCCTTGGATGACAGTCTTCACTTGGATAACAGTTCGGGTTTCTGGTTTCCTTGGGATCGGTTCGCACTTGGATGACAGTCTTCACTCGGATAACAGTTCGGGCTTCTGGTTTCCTTGGGATCAGTTCGCACTTGGATGACAGTCTTCACTCGGATAACAGTTCGGGTTTCTGGTTTCCTTGGGATCAGTTCGCCCTTGGATAACAGCCTTCACTTGGATGAGAGTTCGGGTTTCGGGTTGCCCTGTCGGGTTTCGGGTGGGGTTTCGGGTTTCCCGTTCTCCGCTTTCACCCGCAATCCTTTGGTTTTTTGAATGGACTTGCAAGCTAGTTTTACCTTCAGTCAAGGATTCACACCTGGAGCCAATTAAAGTGCCCACTTTCCCAAGTCCAAGTGGAGGGAAAGAAGTCCTTTCCAAACTTGGAGAAAAAACGTCTATTAAAGTGAAGCAATGTCCAAGGGGATATCTCCAAGTACTTGGATCCACGCCGCGTGGACCACGCGCAGAGTCCTGTTTCCAATCCAAGTGAACACTTCCACGCGAGCGCGGATTAAAGTGCCCATTCCAGATCGGCTGCATGTCAGTCCATTGCACGAACTATTCGAAGTCCTAACTGACTCGTCCTAGCTCGAATACGACTCTGTGCTCTCGCTTCCGACCGATATTCAACTCTTCCCCCGGGACACAACGCCAACTAGGCTGAGCCAAAGCTGCTATTCCTGCCCACTCGGATCCCTACTCATGCCCACTAGGGCGACACCTTGAGTTAGCATAGTGTAGGCCCATTCCCGATCGGCTGCATGTCAGTCCATTGCACGAACTATTCGAAGTCCTAACTGACTCGTCCTAGCTCGAATACGACTCTGTGCTCTCGCTTCCGACCGATATTCAACTCTTCCCCGGGACACAACGCCAACTAGGCTGAGCCAAAGCTGCTATTTCTGCCCACTCGGATCCCTACTCATGCCCACTAGGGCGACACCTTGAGTTAGCATAGTGTAGGCCCATTCCAGATCGGCTGCATGTCAGTCCATTGCACGAACTATTCGAAGTCCTAACTGACTCGTCCTAGCTCGAATACGACTCTGTGCTCTCGCTTCCGACCGATATTCAACTCTTCACCCGGGACACAACGATAACTAGGCTGAGCCAAAGCTGCTATTTCTGCCCACTCGGATCCCTACTCATGCCCACTAGGGCGACACCTTGAGTTAGCATAGTGTAGGCCCATTCCCGATCGGCTGCAAGTCAGTCCATTGCACGAACTATTCGAAGTCCTAACTGACTCGTCCTAGCTCGAATACGACTCTGTGCTCTCGCTTCCGACCGATATTCAACTCTTCCCCCGGGACACATCGCCAACTAGGCTGAGCCAAAGCTGCTATTTCTGCCCACTCGGATCCCTACTCATGCCCACTAGGGCGACACCTTGAGTTAGCATAGTGTAGGCCCGTTCCAGATCGGCTGCATGTCAGTCCATTGCACGAACTATTCGAAGTCCTAACTGACTCGTCCTAGCTCGAATACGACTCTGTGCTCTCGCTTCCGACCGATATTCAACTCTTCCCCCGGGACACAACGCCAACTAGGCTGAGCCAAAGCTGCTATTTCTGTCCACTCGGATCCCTACTCATGCCCACTAGGGCGACACCTTGAGTTAGCATAGTGTAGGCCCATTCCCGATCGGCTGCATGTCAGTCCATTGCACGAACTATTCGAAGTCCTAACTGACTCGTCCTAGCTCGAATACGACTCTGTGCTCTCGCTTCCGACCGATATTCAACTCTTCCCCCGGGACACAACGCCAACTAGGCTGAGCCAAAGCTGCTATTCCTGCCCACTCGGATCCCTACTCATGCACACTAGGGCGACACCTTGAATTAGCATAGTGTAGGACCATTCCCGATCGGCTGCATGTCAATCCATTGCACGGACTATTCGAAGTCCTAACCGACTCGTCCTAGCTCGAATAGGGCCGCATTTAGCCGAACGAGGAGCTTGGGCGCGCAGAAAAAATCTTGGGCCAGAGGGAGAAAATCTTGGGCGGGCGGAAGAAAATCTTGGGCCAGAGGGAGAAAATCTTGGGCGCGCGAGAGACGAGGGTCCGAAGCGCAGCCCGTTTTTTCCAAGTGCACTAATAACTCGATAAACTACGAGAATATTGAACAAAAACGATCCTTCATCAACATGACCTTGACCAACATGTTACTTATAACAAACTCACCTCATTCCCTACCCTCAGTGCTCTCGTCAATCCTCTGATGATGGCCTAAGTCGGCAAGGAACTTAGCGCAAGACAGGTCGTACAATCTAGTTTGCTTGGTATGCTCAATTCTTGCGGCCTTGCGGCCTTAGTAAGTAGTTAAATGTTATTAGTCGACTCGACTAAGTCGAGTATGAGTACATTGTGTGAGTTTCGGGCATGCCGCACGCAGCGTGCGAGCGGTTGCGTTTTCCAAGCACCGAACTGTTTCCAAGCTGTGGTTCATTTTCCACATTGCTACTTTAATTCGATGAACCTCGCCCGGGAAAACGTCTTGGAAAATTTGCCCAGAAAGTCGACCTTTCCAAGTAGCATCACTTTAATGGAGCGTGGATGGGAAAACCGACCCTTGGATGTGGAACCTGGATTTGTCGCCGTGGACTCGGAACCCGGAAAGGCTTAGCACTTTAATTGGCTCCTGGTAATTATCTTGATGACCGTTCCCCTTGTGACTCGTGTTCTCGCTCTCATTAAGATTCAATATCTTTCTTGTCTTCTTTGTGCGTGCCCGATCTTCAATTTCGCTCGCATAATGATCGATTTTGATTTTAGCTACTCTGTTGTTTTCAGTTCACTCTTAAGGCCTCTTTGACACAGAGTTCGTGTTACATAGTTTTAAATGATGGATTGGTGCTTTCTAATATTTCATTACCAATAGCCATTGCCTATTAACGCAAGAATCTCTTTTGTTGCATATGGTTACTTCTTGCAAGCAGTATTCGTTCATTATTGCAGTTTCAGATCTTACTAATTAATGCTCAATCTTCGGCGAGCAGCTTCATTCATGCAGTCGCTGGCATTACGGTTTAGCGGCGGTCCAGCTTTCTTGGGTCTGCCTGGCTTACGGTACCTGATACTGGCTTCAAGTGTTCTTTGTAACTAAGTACTACCTGTGATCAAGTGGCAGCTTCTTGACATCCTCTTCATTGAGCAGGCCTAGTCTAATGCCCAATCCCAACGTATGATAACAAGACTTGGCTTTCAAGCTAGCTGGGCAATTACAGACCAACTCCCGCCAGTTCTTCGGGAGGTCGTAGTCGGTGAGTGGTACTTCCACCATATAGATCCTTCGTAGTGTTTCTGTCATGTCGTCGAATGTCTCGTGCTGCAGGTCTCCGCTCAAAGTCTGCAAGTACTTCTTGACACTGTCAGAGTCTAATGCACTTGCGGGTTCGACTCGTGAGTGGATGAAGAATAACATAAAGTCCTCGTCTGGCCATCTCACCTTGTACACCATAGCAGTGCTTTCCCATGCTGCAGCAACCACGTAAGTAAGCTTCTTAGGTTTTATCTCTTCTGCTTCTTCATACCTTCGGTTACCCCACGGATTCCCTGGTATTAGGTCTCGAGAGAAGCGAGGAAGAACAGTGTTAATCAGCTTCCCTTGGAAGGCTTCGAGCGACAGACGATCTCTTTAGGTGAATTTCTTTAGCCTCCGGTTGTTTCCTTCCAGGCCATTGTTCGTGGATGGAAGGCGTGGTGCGAAGCCTTCATACCAACCATTGAGCTTGCTGTCGATCCAGCTCTCCCGTATATAATCCATGACAGCTTTACCTTCAGGGTTCGAGGCGTATTTCTTCTCCATGAGATCGAAGTGATTGAAGAATGCTGGAGAAGTACTCGATAGTTGAATGTATTGCAGGTCTCGTAGGATTTGAAGTTGTAGCTCAGAGTTGGTGTTTAGCTCCTTCATCTTCTTCTTCACGTTGCTTTGTACATGATACCAGCACATGCATCGTAGGACAGTGTCTTTGTACACTGCTTCGATAGCAGAAGATATTGCCACTGCACCGTCTCCCATCACATATTTTGGTCTTGTTGTGTTTAGTCTCATTCTCTCTGCTCCTATTACTGGGGTTCGTAGTAAGTCAGCGTAATCCTGGCTTCTCTCTCTTGCCGATATAGCCACAGCGATGGGGAAGCAATGGTTGTTGTTATCGCTTATGGCGAGCATCAATACAGGTAGACCTTGGAGATTCAGCTTGTACGTTGCGTCTGTGTTGTGCATCTTGGCTTTGGTGGCGGACCATACAAGACGCCTCGTGGTGAATATAATAATGAAGTCGTTGATATCTGTGAATCTAGAGAATACCACAAAAGGAACGTCCGGTTGATTGACCGCTGGTAGCTCTGAGTGGTCGTTAGCTAGCTTCTCCAGCTCCTCCAATGATATCTTGCAACTTCCTCCGTTGATCTTCCGACGTAAATACTGCATCTTGTTTATAACCTGCGAAAGCAAACTAATATCATCAAGTTGGGACACAATTTCAATCCTTCCGATCAAGTCCCAGCGAGGCAAAATGTAGGGACTTGACGTGCTATGGCCAATTTTTTCCAGTCTACTTCTGAGAACTTTTCGTTTCTTGCTCGCTACTCTACCCACTCATAACTCAACAATCATGCGGCACTTTGAACATTATCCAAACATTACTGAGGCCGGGACATGGGCTAAACTCAAGAACTAAGGCGCGACAAGCGAGAGTGGCGTTCATAACACTGTTATCACTGAAAAGTTGTCGGTTCGCAACGAAATGCTCACCTTCTTTTTCGGAGGCTTTTCTTCTGCCTGGAGTCCGTTCTGTGTGATGTAATCATCGATAATCCTTTCCATCTCATCCCAAGTGGTGACTCCGTTCGTCACCTGTTCTTCAACTATCTTGTCGAAAGGTGGTGGAACACCAGAGTTGTGCTTCCAGTCGTGCTCGTGCTCGCCCGAGCTGTATATTATCACCCTTGAGTTTTCATTCGGGTAGTGTAGCATCAGCTTGAATCCTCCCGCAGAACTTTCGCTTTTCTCGCCTCGCTTTCTCCTTGCTCCCGGGCTGCCACATGCGCAACAGTACATGGTTACTCTGGCGCCAGTCCTACTGGAGTTAGAACTGAAGGAGCTCACATAACCGCACCATTTGGGAATACTTTGGCTTACTAAGCAATCCCGAACTTCCCTTGTGTTTTGAGCCACTCTGAAACGTCGCTCTCGTCGTTGAGGCTTGTGCGATACTTCCATGCGATTCTTTCCCCACGTGTGTTCGCTGAACACGGGGCTTCCACTGATAGCACGGTCGCTGCTTCCGCTGGTTCCTGTGCTGCACCCACAGGAGGCAAGGCTTCCCAAATGGCCGTGTCCAACGCCTAGTGGAAGAGAGTCTTTTCTTTGACAACCCATTTTGCAGTGGCCTCTATCACGTTACCGCGAGCAGTCTTTTGGCTGTATTGGACTCCTGACTTCTATTATGCGCGCTGGCGTGAGAGGTACTCCAACTTGCTCCTTCAGTCTCGGAAATATTGCGAACAGTGTCCTAAACAGAAAGGCATAAGTGCCTTAATGCTGAGCCAACCGTGTAAAAAGTCTAATCAGACCCACCATCATCCCGTTTGCCGTTTGGTCCACTCCTCCAATCGCACTGGGTTGAGGGGACTTTCCCTGTGGTGACTCGACAATCTGAGAACCGTAACGTGCTGGTCGTCCCGTGCGGTGACTATTCTTCACATGCGAATTTCTGACGGTTGGGGCACACGCTCTAACACCAGTGTCCCTGGCACATACTGGGGTACATGCGACAGTAGCGGATGGCAGATAACGCGTCTGGGCGTCGATGCCGTCCTAAAAAGAAGGCACTACAGTTGTAGCTTACGCTGACAGCTACTTTGATCTTTTTTCTAGAATCCGGGCCAAGATAAGAACCACTGTGGGTATCCAATATCGTTGTCTTCGGCCCAGAGATCGGAGGTTGACCACTACTGTAGGACCAGGAGACCCGACGCGTTTGTTCAACAAACTTTGTTGGCTGGCACATATTCGTCTTGGGATTTGTCACAGCACGGTGCTGTGAGCACCCAGAAATCGATACATAATGAAACGCAGCATCTATGATTGTAATCCCCCGCGAAGTTCATAGATTTAAGGAAAACTTGAAGTTAGCGGCGGCAAAAAACACTGAAAATTGTCAGCACTTAGAATCGAACCTGGGAGGAATATAAATACGGAAAAATGGTAGTCCCGAGAATGACCACCCTCCTTGAAGAACGGACTTTAGACATAAGAAAATGGAATTACTCGAGACTGTGCGATCTATCACCGGGGCGAACGCGTATTGCAGCGCATCACACGATTAGACAACGGGCCTATAACTTAGGGACCTTATAACTCTTAGGTTCAGGAGTCCTGAACCTAAGAGTTAGGTCCTTAAGGGACAGGGGCTAAAACCTTAAGGAGAAGGGAAGTTTGTATCGCAAGCTAAGGTCCTTAAAAGACCTAGCTCCAAAAAGGAGCTGTGATTTAGGCTGGTCCGGACCAGCCTAAACCAGCCTGAGAGATACTCCCTCAACCCTCGGGCGCGTGCTTTCTCCTCCGAGAGCGGAACCTAGCGACAGAAGTGTGCGGAGGTTCGATCCCGAGGCGTTCTACCCACACTATCTACAACAAAACCTTTTGGATGTCAAAGACGCATGCCTGCTATTAACGCGTTACAACTCATTAATCACGTACACTACTTCATGCTTAAGAAAGATAAGAAGAAATCGGAAACCATCACGCAATCGTGATAAAGAGTCGTTATAACGTCGTTATTAACGACGAAGCTCTTGTTACAAAGGCAACGCTACTCAAGACATCGGTTCGGTAAAGCCCTTACTGAATGAGGTATCCAGTGAACTTCTGCAATGTAGTCCGCATCCAAGTGATAAGATTTCTCATAAAACAAGCCGTATGACTCCTTATAGGGTGGAGCCGATATCAGCACTACCCCAGGCGTGACGCGAATCAGTGTCTGGTTCACGTTTCGCACGATTTATGTGTGCAGAACTACAGCCCGGTGTCAGTTGTGATTCCAGCTCTTTCCGTGATTCAGTGTGACTTGCTATTCCCCCATACCGGCTTACCTCCATCCATCTATCTGCAACTTCGAGCAGAATGTCTTTGCACGAGACCATCCTGTAACAAAGACGTATTGAAAAACCTCAGGCATGTGGAAAATACACTTCAGTTCTTCGTTTGATACATACCCAACAACGATTATCCATGCTTGATGCTTTATCGTGCATTGTAGCTCACTCATGAATCCGCATAACTATGTCTAACTGCTTTTAAGCAATGAATTAGTTTATTCGACTCCAAACAACACCTTGATGGACGAATTGCCTATAACACAAAGCTTCCACAGAACAGTTCAAGCCTAAAAACCTGTTTCCTGGTGTAGCGACGAACTCCTTCCTGTACAAAGTATCTCTGAGAAACTTGGTGTAGCGATGATAATTGATCTAAAATGCAGTCTACTGGTGCGTATGGATGGATATTCCTCGAGCGGGATATCATGGTTCTCCGTAGTGATACTTCTCAAAAAGTAGATTCTCCGGCATTTTTCATGCTGTCATAGTGAGCCGTGGGATGCAGATTTTTATGATGCGAAAAATGTGGGGGAGGCTCTTCACTAACTCAGTGACACTGAAGGTATGAAGTGTCACGCTTGGTAGATACTTGATAGATACGCGAAGCTACAGAGAGGAGAATTACTTGCATAAAGACATAGGTTCCAGGTTTCATGCAGCTCAGCTGCAGCAGCTGTGCAATAACCGTACAGTGTAAAACTTAATCATCTGCAGCCTGAAATTGATGTCCCCTCCCGAATGTGATTTCCTTTGTAACGAAGGAAATCACATTCGGGAGGGGACAGAA